GTTCCATTTTAGTTGGATCAAACTAAGACTCGACTCTTCTCGACATAACTAAATAAATTGCATTCAAGTAATTAAACGCAGGTACTCACATTCAACAGCAACTCTAAAGCTAACTCAAGACATAATTAGGTTAAAAAATATAACTCTAGAAATTTAAATACGTACAAACGCACTTCCGGTAGTTTTGACAAGCTGCTCAAGCAAATTCTGTACCAATAGGTCACTTCCGTGAGCGACATGGCCAGTCAAAGTACCCATTGCTCCACAAATTGAACTCTAGTATCCACTCTTTGTGCTCTCTGCCAAGAATAAGACAAATCAACTCAAATTATTCATGTATAGACGAATTGCAAATTGCAATTTGACTCTCGTCTGATTTTCATTTGCCTTTCCTGCACTATTCAATTGGGCTGTTCTGATTCCTAAATTTTGTTTTTCAGTTGTCGCGAGAAACTTGAACATCACAGGGTTAAATACAAATTTAAAAAAAAAGTTTTTTTTTCGAACCAAAAACAACTCAAACTTCTTCCATATTAACGACTGGCACATACTCCCCACAATCCGGGTGGATAACCTTATCGTGCGTCGTCGCTATCCAGATCAAATTGAAACTAGGAAATTTAAAAAAAGGTCTATGAACAATTACAGAAGACTGCTTCTCATGAAAAAAATGATCTATCTTTTCAATCAGCCCAATCAAAAAATTATTGACAAAAATTGACAAAGTTGACAAAAAACATGTTTATGATAATTGAAAACGATAATTGCGGTTAAATAAAGTTTATAAATTTAAGAGTCTAATAAAAAATTAGTTTTTTTTTTCAATCCGAGGTCACGCTCAAGCTCCAGTTCTTTTATTCTGCCGCCGATCTCATGAAACCTCTGGTTGTCATTCAAACTCTCCTCAATCTACTTTCGATGAACTAGAAGCGAATAACTTCCGTATTGTGATCTGTTTCGTTAGCTATACCTTGTCTTCAGAGATGATCACAATCGCTTTCCAGCTCTCAGTTGTTTTTGCTCTTCTAGCCTCACGGCTTGATTTGGCAGGATCTTCACTTTCGCTTCTCTGCTTCGACAAAGCACTATGTGAAGGCTCAGGGCCACATTCGTCGCCAAATCTTCTTCCAGGATCGATTTTCTCGCTGTTGTGCTTTGATAACTTGCCTTATATTTTCCAACCCGTCATCTTCCGTTTCAGTCATATTCAAGTCACTTGATTTGCCGATATCTCCCTAGAATTTTTATTATTGCAGCAAAATTATAAGCGTTATGACAAAGGCTTCAAGTGCAACAGATAGAAGTAGTACTGTTGATGTTTGAAATCATCAAAATAGTTAGAGCTGACTAAAAACAGAAAAATGCTTGCAATCAATTTTTTCTATCATGCCATTCAAAATAGTTATCAATTCATTTGTTCTTCCTGTCATCATAAAATTTTTGCTTTATTTTCCCAGTTTGTAACATTCAACTTTCAAATTTGATAAAATTTTTTGAATTTTCTTCTGAAAGGTGAAAACAAACTGAATAACTCGAAAAATTGAAACGAGTCAAAAAAAAATTTTTCTGAAACTTTTCTCCCAATTTTTTTGAAGAAATTGTCCTAGTAAGAAAATCATAGCCCAAAATTTTTTAAACTCCTGATTTTGTTGTCAAATTATTTGTTTAGATAAAACAGTTCACATTAACATGCTTCCAAGGTTCATAATGTAAGGCCCCGAAAACGATTTATAAACAAAAGTAACTCCCCGAAATTAATTTAAACGTTTCCTCGCAATTTTTAGTAGGATGACTGATTCCTAATTCCAGGGGTTGGGCTGTGGAACACGCCAACCTCTGATTCTGATGTTAATCCCGGTTTTAATCTCGGTGTTTTTATGCAATTTTGGGATCAAAACGCTCAAAAGGAAACTTAATGTCACCGAGGGGTGAACTCGGGTCAAACTTCCTCGAACAGGCTCAGAATCTCAGGAGGTCAAATTTACCAAGCCGCCTGAATGGTTTCACTCACAAGGGTTCTTTTTGCGACAGTGGTGAGTAGTAACTATTGCCGCTATAAAGTCAGTATGCACAAGCTCATTTTTTGCATAATTTGCCGATTTGCGATCTAAAGGAAAGTTAATTCAAGTGCTGGTTGCTTTCAATCCAACGGTTAGAAATGAACAAATTATACCACAAGATGTATTTTGCCACTATCTATCATCCCTCCAAGTTTCAGCTCACTGCATTCATTGGGGGGTCCGAGAAACGACTTCCAGAATTTAGGGAAGGGTTTTTTTTACGTTGGGTATGAAACCGGAAGTGGGGGTCCTAGGAGTCTGGTGTTCAAAACTTAAGTTTCCCTCAACTAAGCCTAAAACATATTGAAACTGGAGTCCCATGCCGCCGCTAGTTGCCGAGTTCTGATAGGGTCGTTTACACTACCTGGGACTGTTATCACTTGCCCATCAATGACCTGAGGGGTCCCGTTTTTCGTACGTCCGGTTCAAATACTCTTTATTGCCGCTCCTCTGAATTTCATAACATTAGCTTCCCTAGTTCCGACTTGTGGGGGGAGGGGGTGTTTGAGTTTCCTGATTTTGGTCTTTTTTTTCTGGCTTAGGACTATCTCGAACTCTACCATTCCTTTCCTGTACTACTTTACTTAATGACTAATCAATCTTAAGCACAACTTACTATTAGCCTTACCATACTGCAGGCAATTCTCACAGTAATATTCTCTACGTTTAGTTCTTGTTTTGCCGAAAATGTTATAGAATTACTGATCCTACTATCAAGGCTCATGCGGTCAAAAAAAAACAGAAAATTTGAAAATTCGTTCAAAAAGTATGGCTAATTAATTGATTATGTTTCCTTTTTTCATGCCATCCATTCAACATTTTGAACAATATCCAAGAAAATCAAACTTTTGCTTTAATACATTCCCATTTCAGTGCATCCCATTTTTCTGTCTGGTAAAACGCAATTACATAACACTAGTTTCCTTATATCCCATTTGGGGGTGAAGGATTTCGCCGATTTTTTTTTTTTTTCTATTTTCTGGCATAGGTGTGACGAATACTTCCAAACCTGACTTTTTTGAGGAGCTAGAACATTTGTTTGCTGTACTACCTAACTTCTTTCGCTCAGGTTACTACGACTTGTAGTTCAGCAGAATCACATATTCTGTACCCACCATCACACTGGCGAAAAGCAATCGCAGTTTGATAAAACACACGCTTTTGCTGCTGCTTTTGAAACTTTTTCAAAATTGCAAAAAGACCCAATGATTGAAAGTGGAATGTTTTTATCCAAGTGGAATCCCTCGTAGGCGATGAACCGAATGGGCGAAAACAAAAATCAGCCACTCACTATTCTAAAATGGAAAGAGACCATTGAAATCTCAAAGAAAATAAACATCTCTAGGGTTTTGATATTAATATTGTCCCTAACTGCCGGTGAATTGGAGCAAAATTTGTAATTTTCAAAGGGTTTAATTATAAAAGGAGCAAAATACTACTTCACATAATGTTTTTAAATTAACGGCAATTGATCCATTTTAATAATTGATTTTCGACTGTTTTTGTTTTCGGGGGCCTAATTTCGACTGTTCTAATTTATTTCGAAAGTGGATCATTTTTGGTTTCTTCCCTTATTTAAAAAATACTTAGAACTGTTCGGCCACTTGTATGCAATAAATATCAAAAAGCACCTATATATAGCGCAACAAATTTTAAAATGGTATCAGCTCCAAAAAGTAAGCGAAACGTTTAAAATTGATATTATATCAAAATTGAATTTTTATCTAATGATATGATGTTTTTTTGGCTACTATGGAAAATAGCGATTACTTTACGAATTGAGCAGACTTCGTTTTTCTGAAACTTCATTGGGATATTCAAGAAAAAGACTTTGGTATAATTTGCTCAGCAATTGACGAGGTAAGTTTTATGTATTTGTTTAGTTATTGATTCTCTGAAAAACATTTTTTCTTGTTTAAAAAAATGGCCTAGATTTTGGCAATAAACGCATCCATAGTCTAGTGTTTCACTAAAATCCAAAGCAATTATTAATCCGATCACTTTTTGACGATTAGTAACCGACTATTGGCATTTAAAATTTCCCTTTTTTTGTTTTTCCTAGTATTTTTGATTTAACCAAAAAATTTATTTTGGCTATTTTCGACGACCGCACTAAATTTTTTTTTAGTTTAAACGTCTACCATTTGGTTCAAATGTTCGTTATTTTTTGTGCCAATTGTTAGACCAATTCAGGAAATCCTGGGTAATCGATGCAAAACTTTGACCTGATTTTTTCCTGACCAGGTCTGCACAGTGATAGAATTAGATAGCTTGATAACTCAGGTTAATAATGGAGTTTTTAAGTGTACTTTCTATAAATCTTTTAAAAATATTTTCGGAGAAAAACTACAACAATTGCTAAAACTAGTCGAACTGGTAAAAAGTTTCGTGAATAAATTTTTTACTTACAAAAATATTTTATCGATTCATCACGAGTTAACCAGTCTCTCCAAAAATTCCATATAACTACACAAAAAACTGTTTGTTGCTAACCTTGAACGTGTGTTGGAAGGCATACGGTTTAATAACTAGACTCATGTAGACCGGATAACAAATAAAAAACTGATTAGGGAAATTTGCGAGCATTCAGCCAAATATCTGCATGCTCACGTTGCAAGGCATTGCATAACAAATTAATGCCATTCCGAGCCGCAAAAACACCTTTGAGTCGTTAAATTAAAACCTATGACTGAAAAATCTTCGATAATAATTTTTGTATATTCATATTTTAGATTATAGTTAAATTCCGCCCCCCCCCCCACCCTCGAAAAAATCATAGATCCGCTCCTGCACATCCACATAAAAAAACAGATCTACCTCCCTTTGTATAGAAATGTTTAGGCAGACTTTTGATTAAGTTGTCGCCCGTGCTCTTTTTTCGAACAATCTACCAAAAATCATATTGTTTTTGAATTACAAAAACTGCAGAAAAAACTTGCAAATAAATTGAATTTAACATAAATTTGTGGTTTCAGTGAAAGATAAAAGCTTTGGTGGCTAGAGATCCCTGAAAGTTCTCAACTCAGTCTGTTTGCTCGTCTGCCCTCTGTCTTGTATATGGATATAAGGAAGAAAGAAGCGACAAGGGATCATGTTTGACTAGAATTCCTCGTCCAACCTAAGGCTATGACAATGCGCATTTAGGAAGCTAGAAGCGGTGGGGATGGTCTTAGACTATAATCAGTCATCCAGCAGAAGACTATGACGACTGTGGGGGTGGTGAGCAAGAAAGGGAGGAGTTCGGGGCGAAACTGGTAGCGGGAGTCTGGTGGCTGGCAAGAGGGAGTGTCTGAGCATGTTCTGTCGGGCAATTTGTTCACTGATCTGGTCGGCCTCCTCTTCAAAGAGTCTTCTCAGATTTGCTGCCTTCCTGCTTCTCTCTTCACTCTCATTGGCCAGTCTTTTTTCCAGTTTCCTGAAAACACACAAGAAAGCTCACATTTACATCCATACATGTAAGAGGCGATTAGCATAGTGGTAAGGCGTTCACTTTAAAATCGTCAGATCGCGGATTCAATCCCACGCCATGGCAATGATAGTGAGTGAGGGCGAGCTCTCACTTGACCTCTAGCTAGAGGTCTACCATAGCCAGAAAAATTTCTGCTGCAATAGTGGTACCACGTGAAATTTATAGACGCAAAAACGGCCTTGAGTCGCAAACTAAAGAGCGTCTCTCAACAAAAATAACACAGTCTGGAATGTGGGGAGATAACACACATGGACTATCCTTTACAGGACTGTTAAGGCCTACTGATAGCTCCTCTGAGATTCGCAGGAACCAAAAAAGTAAGGTTGAGAACTCACATATTGCCACAGCCAAAGATGGATGCAGAGAAGAAATAAAATCATCGTTTTAAAACAAAATGTTTTGAACAGGATTCGGCTCCCGGGTCGAGGTTTGCGATTTGTGTTTCGATCGACTCGAATAAAAATGGTATGTTTCGACCGTCTCGACCCAGGATCGTTATGTTTCGACCAAATCCACTCAAGCTATCTATGTTTCGACTGTGTTCGACCAAGGAAGAACATTTCGACCAAGTTCGACCGAGGAAAAACGTTTCGACCGAGCTCGACCGAGGAATTTTTTCGACCGAGAAGAAATCGACCGCAAAAAAGCATTTCGACTGTGTTTGACCAAAGGAAAACGTTTCGACTGAGCTCAATCCACTTTTTTTTGACCGAGAAGCGTTTCGATCGAGAAAAAAAAAACATTTTGACTGAGTTCGACTGAGGAAAAATGTTTCGACTGAAAAAAGTTTAATTGTACTGGCCGTCAAATAGGTTAAAGTCAATCGAGCAATACTCGCTGTGAAATTTTGCTGAGTATCTGCAAGAGACTAGCAGAAACTTTAAAAACACTGACTATACTGAACTTAGCAATAACAATAATAAGTTAAAACTATTTTGATAGTAGAATGAAAATTTTTGTTTGTTTCTTGCAAATATAGAATACAAAGCTTGCAAAACTTTTGCAAGACAAATGCAAATCTTGCACAAAAATTGCGAGAAAACAACAAGAACAATGTATTGTCTTACAAAAACTTTAACAAGTCTATTATATATTCCTAGCCGAGAACACTGAAAGGTTTGGAAAGAATCTAAGGTTGACATTGACCACTGAATAGTTTCGAACTAGTTTTTCTTGGAAAAAACTAAATTGTTAACATTTTTTAGATTGTGTAACATCACATCAAACATTTTCAAATAAAAAACTAATTGCGGCTCAAATTAGCCGAAAAACTCGATATATATGTCAACATCTATAAAACTAGCTTTAATTGAATATTTGTCAGAAAAATCATTCTTAAACTATAGAAAAAGTTTGGTAAAAATAGACTTACAAGATTTTTTATAGGTTTTTCATTTAAAAATTTTATTTCGTAAAACTGACTCCACCACTTGAAGCAGAGTCATATAAAGGACTTTCTGACATGAGTTAACAGTTATTAAATAAGTTGGACCAGGAAAGATTACGATTGTCTTTCAATTAATACACCTTTTAATACACCTTACTTTGATTGCTAATTGCTGGAATTTCATTGCCAAAAAAAATCACAGAACCAAACACAAAATCAATCGGAAACTAGTTTGGCGTAACAAAAGTTCTTGGTGAAACAAAAATAACCGATTTTTGCGCGTATATGCAGGTACCTTTGCGCAAGCACGTTTAGATAGGCAGTGGTCGAGTTCCTTTGGGACACACAATATACACTACACTAAAATGGACGTCAAAAAGTATGCTCAGAAACGCAAACTTTGATAAAAATTTAAGCTTACCAAAAGGAGTCTAAGAAAAGTCACAATAAAAATCATTTACCGTCTGTTTTTTTTAAGTAACGCGAAAAATTTGGCGAAATATTATAGTAAACAGTTTTGAGAAGTTTCGAAAATTCTCGTCAATCGAGAAGTTCCTAGATCAGCCCTGCCGATACACGAGATGGTCAGTTCTTTGTGGGGGGCGCTGTTATGCCCTTAATTTAGAAATATGCAGTTTTTTTGTCAAATAATTGTTTCTCACTTTCCAGCAATGAACACGAGAAATGAACTCGATCACTGGATTTTTGTACAGAAAAAACAATCGCGTTATATGCTTGGGCATTTTCTTTATGCCGAGCAAAAGTTACGCGTGTCTGAGGCGTCGGAAAATACTGCAAAGGCCATGCCTGATGGAGCTGTTCTGGTGGGCGAGGATGTCATCCAGCTGCCGTCTTCTCTCTCTGTCCTCCTCAAGGTCCTGCCCTATTCTTCTGTTTGCCTCCCCAGTGTGCTCCAGATATCTACAACAGTCAAGCAGTATTATAATAACTTAACTAGCAAAGCTTCAAGACGCTTTAGCAGAGCTTCGTTTGCTATTTTACCTAAACGATAACCACTAAGTGATTTATTGACACTTTTTCAACATCTTCATCTTCAAGTCCGTTTTCTTGCCCCCAAAAACAGAAAGAGAAAAACACGGGAAAAAAGTTTTCAAATGACTTTTTCGATACAAGCTCTGGATAAATAGAATACGCTAATCCCGCCAAAAAAGCCATAAGGTTTTTTATCAGCAAATACACTTCAATAGAGAAACAAAACTGCTCAAAACATTTAAAACTCAATCTTTTCTTTCGATTAACGAGTTTTAGTGGAGAATGTTTGGAGAATTTTTTTCTTGAGCTGCTTTTCTGAAGAAAAACGTGGCTTGGTGTCAGGCCGGATGGGAAATGGAAAAGGAAGTTAAATGATTTGAGAAGAGGATTGATATGCGATGTACTGACTGTTGGAGGTGGTTGAGGGTCTGTTTGGGCTTCTCTCTGTCCTTCTCTCTCTGGGTGAGGTATGCCTGCAGCCACTCCCTATTCTTCTGCTCCCTCCCATTCTCCTCCGCCCATCTCAATTTGTCACCATAGAACCTATCCAGTTTACTATAAACAAACCCAAAATTAATTAAATACAACCCATCATAATTATTTCTTTCAGTTTTTTTAACCTCCCAAACGTGTAACTGCATGCAGACAGTGATTATTAGGTTGAGAGCCGACTTTTTTCTAATGTTGTTTAACGATTTTGGGGTTTTTTAGAACTGTTATTGACTTTGAAGAGCCCGAAAACAACGTCGAAAAAAATTTTGCTGTATTTTTTAACCTTGTTTTCTTTTTGTTTTTATTGCCTCGACCTCCTCGCCAGAAAAAAAAAACAAACGAAGAAATCCGGCAAAAAACGTGTGGAAAAAGAAAAAAAGAAAATTTTTTGGGCTTCGTTTTTTTTTGCAATGATGAATGGTGAGAACATTCTTTTCCAAATAAACAGCCACCGAATATTCACGTTCTTAACTCAATCTTGTTCATAATTAAGAGAAGGCTTTGTTTTTGTTTCGATTAAAGAGATCAAATAAAATGTAAGGCCAAATTTCGAAAAAAAAGTCGACGAAAATTTCGAAGTGAAGCTTGAATTATCTAACTTGGTCAAAACATATATGGGATGGCTCAAACTAAAAATAAAAGTATAAAACTAAAATATAGAAAATATAGAAACTGGTCGAAACCTATAAGGTTTTTTTCGGACAATCTTTGAATTCTAAAAATTGAAAATTTAATGCTGTCATACTAAAAATAACTCAACTGATACAATCGGAACTTATGGAACTGGAATGATCGGAATTTCTCATATAATTCGCACATGGATTTAATTGACTTCATTATTCATGGAGTTCTTTATTTAAGAAGACATCACTCGTAAGGAGTCATCACGCGAACGGCATCAATTCTCAATTTGTTGCTTCCTTCATGGATAATAATTTACAGTTATGACTTATGGCTTTTGTCTTTTGTATCAAACTGAAAATAAAATTATTATTATTTTTTTTTTAAAAGAGGTCGACCTGAGGCGTTCGTTGACCTCTTTCCTTCTTGGGAAGTAACTCTGTTTGTCTCTGTACTGGGGGTGTTTGAGGAGAAGGAATTCGTAGTAGGGGTCACGTGACATGCGGTAGAGACTGTCGTGCTGGTCCTCCAGTATTGCAGTGTAATCTAAAACGAGGACAGCAGAAAAAGTTTGGGTAAATACGTGAAGAGAAAATCCATAAAGACCATCACGAATAAGAAAAAAAGTTTACTGTGCGCTAATCTTTGCCAGTTTTAGGCGCTTTTTTCTTGCTAAAATTTTTTAATACATTCACAAAATCGATGTTTTTAAGTCATTGTTTCAAATTTCTGCCAAAATAGGGTTCCTTTTGCTGCTGTTTGAAGAGAGCTCGGGAAATCAATGTCATCGACCAAAAAAAAGGTCGAGCTTTTTCGACCTTACTTTGAAACTCTAAGTCCCACCATAACCCCCATCCCCCCCCCCCAACCTCATGAAAACCCTAGATCCTCCCTTAAGTAAATATAGTTATTTTGATTGCATATATTGATGATAAATGGTGAAACGTGATTAAAAGTATCACAAAACGATAAAATTTCAATGAAAATACTGACCTAGAAGTTTAGTCCTGTCCTTGCTGAGTATGTCCTTCATGTCTCTCATCTCCCCCAGAACCCCCCTCTGTCTGCGGGAGAAGTCAGACGCATCCCTCGCATACACATCTCTGTAGTAGGGGTTCCCATTGGAAGGGGCGTGGCCGTAGGAACTGTGGTAATACTTGCTCCACAAACCAATCTCGTCCCCACCCAATTTGGGCTCACTGAATATGTGGGTATATGTAAAAACTTGGTTGAAATGATGGGGGGGGGGGGGTGGTTTTTAATACGACAAACACTGATAGAAATCACGCCCTTTACCAAAAAAGGAACACCCGACAGGCTCGTTAGCTCGTTTTGCTGATATTTACTGAATAAGACAAAAAGTATAGGTTAAGTTTCAGCCAGTTTTTGGAATTCAAAATTTTGTCATTGAGTAAGCGAGCTCAATTAGAGCAAGATCTCAAACCACGAAAACAAACATTTGTGTACGGGGCAGAAAATCTTAAAATTTTAGTCAGTCATGCATTGAAAAAATCAATTTTTGTGCATCCAGGACTATGTTATGCACACAAAAAACTAAATTTTGTATGCAAAAATTTTTTCAGAAAAGGTTTATTTGAGTACAAGCTTCGTTTTGCGATTTAAAAAAATATTTTTTTTGTGGGGGGGGGGGATTATCGATATTAATTAGAAACATTTTTGCTATCGCCATCAAAAATTGCTTGTCATAGAATTTCCATAAATGGAAATTGTATGATGAGCCTTTTTTGGCAAAAGTTTTTTTTTCAAATATGATAAAAAACCGAATTTTATGCCAAAATAAGAGAAAATTCTTTAAAAGTTTGATGACTTTGTTTTAGTAAAGGTATGAAATTTAAAAGATTAGTTTGTTTTTCATAAACTTAGTTCATGGAATTGTACGACTAGCATTTTCAGTTCATGCAGGCCAACCCGGGTTGTGAGGATTAACTGTGCATTTTGTGAAGTGTAGCGGATTCCAAAACAAGGACGCTCCTTTTGTTGTTCTTCTGTTTTTTCATTCTTTGAGACCGCTCTGACCAAATTTTAACATGTCTATAGACTTGTCTCTGGAATCCAGGAACATACAGACACGACATTGTGCGCTTATCCAGTGCACAGTTTGACCTTGTAAGGTTTTTCTTTTAAAAGTAATTTAACTTTGACGACTCTCAGTCGGAGCTCAAACAATATCCGATTGGTTTTCCGTTTTTCAAAATTTTTTGTTCAACACTGATGTTCGAGAATTCTGTGTTAATTTCATTGCAACACGTTTTTGTTCCGACCATTAGAAAATTGGGGAAGAACTTTGTATTCGGGTGTTTTCTGTATTTTTTAAGTAGCACAAATGATCAGCGGAACGAGTGATATACTAAATTGAAGCCCTTTTAATCGTGATTCGAAAAAAAATTTCAGAAAAACTGGTTTAAGTTTTTAATTTTTATTCCAATTTCGAGAAAATAAAGCGAGCGATCAGGCTTACAACAGCTTATTTATGCTTAATTGGAGCCCTGAAAACTTAGTTGTGAGCAAATAAAATAGTTTTTGGAGCTTTTTAGCGCCATTTTGAGAACAAAAAATTCCAGAAAAAGTCAAAAAATTTCTGCAAAATTAGAATTTTGGATTTTAGAATGGAGTTTTAGAATTTTAGAATGGAATTTTTTTGCACAAAAAACCCATGAAAACTTGTTAAACTTTGTAAATAATGACTCTACTTTCTGCAAGTTTCTGCAAAACTCCAACGAACACGTTCATCCAGGGCGGCCAAGATGTAGTAATTTTGAAGAGGCTAATATGTAGTGTTTTCAAAAAAGTGCCCAAAACGGAGTTTTGACCAGTTTTTTCAAAAAAATTGCCTCCGGCGCTAACAATTTGATCGAAATACTTTCCTTTGAGTGTTATGGGAGTGCTCGGGAAAGTCAAATTGGCCGACTTGAAAAAAATCGACTGAAATTTCGAATTTCTTGAAAGTCCCCCCACGATACCCCTTAAGCCCCTCATGCCCCCTTATTCTCCCCATCTCCCCGTCCTTCCCCGCGTTTAAACCCAAACCACCCCCTCCCCACACATTCACCCATTCTACATAAATACTTATCCAGGTGGAAAAAAAATTAATTACAAAAATAACAAAAACACGCGACTTGTTATAAATTTTCATAAACGCGATTGAAATTAGGAAAAAAAATGAAATTTAGCGCGAGAACAAAATAACTAAGTTCCGTTTAACAGCATTATAAAAAAATGAAAACAGCACGCCGAAAGATTTTAATAAATGGATTAAAATTGATTAATTTTTTTTGATAAAGTTTTTTTGAAAACAAGTTGAAAATATTCGATTCCAATCAATTAAAAACGATTCTATTGCTTAAAAAATTGTATAATTATAATCCATTTCCAATCGATTATAATCGAATATTTTTGCTATTTTATAAAGACTGATAATGAAAATCCAATATAATCGATTATTATCCCTGAAACTTCAGTGCGGGGTTCAATAAAATAGCAAAATTGGCCCAATACGAGTTTGAAAATAACAGTTGTTCATTGATCATTCTTTTTCCCTCATAGTGATTGGTTGGAACTACTTCTCTGGATTACTATTTTCAAAATGCAGCACAAAAGTGTAAGGTGAAATTAGTTGGAGAGGTTAGACCTAAGCTTTTGCTCAAGGCAAATACAAAAACACTTTATGATTGTTTGCTTGAAGTAGGGAAATTCGTGATATTTTTTTGTTTCTAATTTGACAAATGTCGTGATGATCGTGGTTTTTAAATTAAACCTTGCATTGCTTAAAAACTTCCCTGTTCACTATTTCTGGGCTTTGATAAGTCCATAATATTTCATCGCAATTTTGCTTAGCCAGACTAGGCGAATAAGCAGGGGTGGATCTAAAATTTTCTCGAGGGGGAGGGGCGGATTTTCAAAAAATGTTTGAAAAATTTATCGACCTTTTTTTAGGTAGACCAATTGATTATCTGAGAAAAAGACAATGTTTTGGCTACATTTTCTGCGACACAGGCAACATTTTAAAAAAGCAGTCCAACAAAAGGCGTTTTTAAGCACTTTTTGGAAAATTATTACCAAAAAATTGCATTTTTTTTCGGCGAGCGCTTTCCCCTCAAAATTAGGAAACATTGGCGCTGAGTAAAAATTGCCCCCTAAATCCGCCCCTTCCAAGTTATTTTACAGTGAGGAATTTTTAGATAATTTGTCCGGTACTTTGCCCGATTGCCTTTGAACCAAGTTAACGTCCTCATCTCACCCGCTGACTCCAAATACGTTTAGGGGGAGGGGTTAACTTGGTTCTGTTCTGAGATGGAATTTTCAGCCAATCAGAATAGAGAATTTTACACGTACTGCTTAGCAAATTTAGTTTTAATTGAACGCTGCGGTGGAAGTTTTAACTTGGTCTATTGGGGGGGGGGGGGTTACTTTCTGTTGGCGGAATATTCTGAGCTTTATCATAATCTGAATCAAATTGATATTTTGCTTCCTGTAGCCTCTTGCGATGACAAACAGAAAAGACTAACAGAAAAGACATGAACACATAATTTCTACTTACCCCGGTTTGCGCCCAAAGTTGGATTTGATGTTCTTGTGCAGATGGAGTCGCAGTTCATCCTCATCATCCACGTCCATAATGACCACAATCACTGATCAGTCCACTCAGCTATGGCCTCAATCGCCCAATAAGCTATGGCTAGGTGGGCTATTATGGTAATACTTCAATTAAGTTATGGCTCTAATTGTCCAATAAGTTATGGCTAGTCGGATTTCTATGGCACGCTTCAACTGACCCTGTTGTCTGTGGTTTAACCAATTCTTTGGAAATTATCTCTTTTTTTTTGTTTTTTTTTCTAGCTAAATTGTCAGAGTAATTTTGCCATTCGTGTTTTTATTCAACCGATCTAACAATTTATAACACCATCTGTGTTGTAAGAACGTATTGAATGTTCGCAGATTGCCAAAACAATTCAGACCATAACATAAAATTAATACATAAACGTGTCTGTCTATCTCAAAGCTTTGTTCAAAGCTCAATGAATTTTTTAAGTATTATTTGACAATATAGGACCCTTTCATGAAGATATTGCTTTTTGAAGATATTGCTGGATCAGATTCATTGCTATACACATTCACATCACGCAAATGGGATTTAAAAAATCGTTGGTGAAAAAACGGTTCAATTTGTTTTTTTCCGCTTAAGCTGAGCCAAGCGATAATCGAGTATCTGCTCCGATCTTCATCATAAAAATTGATAATTTATCTAAAATGAGCGTGAATTCCCGGGCAGACAATGTTTGCTTTCCATTTGAAATTGGCAGTCTTCAGCCAAAAAAAACGGAGAAACAATGTGATCTGGCATTAACTTCGTTTTTTGTTTTACTTCAACCCAACCAAAAAACCTGAACTATTTAGCTTGCTTCAATTGCTTCAAATTGAACACAGATTTATATGCTTCCCACAATAATTTATTAAATTTTTGGTGCCCAAAAAACAAGAAATTTCATGGCACAAAAAATAGCTAATGAGATTCAATTTTCTATATTTTTAAAGGATCAAAACTGCTTAGCCAGAAACAGAATCAAAATTGAGATAAAACCATCACAATTTTTCACGAAATCTTGATTATTCAACTTTTTAGATTGTGTATGCAGTTGAAAGCCAATATAAAGCAAACGTGTCAATATTTTCCAGCTTGACCAGACCATAAACGCTGTCACAACTGAAAAACTCAAGGAGAAAGTGAAAAAAAACAAGCTTTTGCGTTTTTTTTTTGATATCGCGATTGTTCGTAGTGTTGCAAGCTCAGTATTGAAACTTTATTTTGAAAAAAATCAAAAAGCATCAATAAATTCCAAGAAACAGACTAAGACAGATTTCGAAAGCTGAACGAAGCTGAACTTCTTTAAATAAGTACCCGCACCGGAGTTTCATGGATAGAAATCGATTATAACGGAAAAATGTTGTCTAAAATATTGTCATTGTAATCCATGATTGTCCAAAATTAGACTACAAAATCAATTATATTGTCATTATAATCGATTATTTCCGTAAAAAGATAATCCAAAAAAAATCCATGATAATGGATTATAATCCATTTAAAATTCATTATAATATTTGAATTTTTGCGAAATTATTTGCAAAATTGTCAACAACTTCTGCTATACTCACGGCTAACTCGAAATCTAAACATACTCCGTACACGTTCATTTACGTCCCCAGTTCATTTGTCACCAACCCCCTTCCTCATCCCCGTTGTTTAACCAGAAAGGGGATAAATTTTGTAACTAACTGTCTGTTTAAAAAAATCGCATCAGAAAAAAGTACCCGTACCGAGCGCCAATGGCTCATAACCAGTTGCTTTGGCATTTCCTTATCAGTACCTATAAATTACCAAGTAATGAATCACAATTCAAGTCCATATATTCTATTAGAATCGATCATATTAATTATATTAGATTTTTGGGAGGTAATTGATGACACTTTTGAATTTACTTTGAATTTATTTTGAATTTATTTTGAATTTTTTTTGAATTTATTTTGAATTTTCTCAATTGATGATAAGCTCAGTTGCTACCTATTGCGTTCCATACGTTTTGACACTAAGCATTTTTAAACTTTCGTTTTTGCGTTTATTATTTTATCCTTTTAATTCAATTCATGCCTTTTAACGTTTTTTTTATGTATACTAACCCGATAGCACAACCGCAGCCCACAATCAAGTCACCCTCTCACCTACACATCCCCTCCACCTCCCCATCCATCGACCCCTCTCCCCAATTTCCCCATCCAAGAGAGGGTGCTGAGGGTAATGATTAAACGTGGTTTGCTTGGGGGGAGGGATTGGACTGAAATTTATCACCTTTCTCACAACTTTTTTTCGCACATCTCGTATTGAGGTAATGGTTGAACCTGATTTGAAGGAAGTTGAACGGAAACTTATCGTATTTTTATTTTTAGCACAAAGAAATAGAGACATTGAAAGTTTCTATCTGTTTGTGCTACCAAAGTTTAAAACAAAAAAAATCAACTCTAATGAGGGCTTACAGCCAAAAAAAAGATGACTTTTCAAAAATGTTCTTCTTGAAATTTTATTACAACGTTCACAAAAACTGAACCGCATCGAGCTAATAAAAAATCCCAGAAAAAAGTTTGGTCAAATTTTAAAAGCTGCCTGGACATAATTAAAAGCTGTCTAGTCATGAATTGAAAACCTGAAAAAATCAAATCGTACACCCTGAAAAAACAATTGCTGAAAATTGTTTTGCAAGCCTCTGCAATTAGGCGTGACTAGTAAGTGTGAGAACGCGGAATGTACATTTTGTTTTTTTTTTCAAAAAATGTGCAATTATAAAATTGTTGGGGCTAAAAAAACTAATAGTTGTGTTGATTTTACCATTTTTTTTAACCAAGTTCGAAACCGAAGAATAGGCTTAAGACCTGGATCAAAATTGATTTTTTAGCAGATATTTTGAGGATTATTGTTGATAATAGTTTGAAAAATTAGGTGTTTCAAAGACTTTTGTTCGGTTATAACTGTCAAATTTCCAACAATTACAATATCTTATAATCAACTATAATTGAAAATAGTTTATAGCAAACACTTTTCCATAGCAATTATAATCATTTATAATTTCGTAATTTGCCAAAACATCGTAACGTGAGATGTCGTGTCACCTTTTGCTTCATCTAGGCACAAAAACTTGGCCAGGAAACAAACATTTTATGTAGAGTTCAGTTTCATTGGTTCATAGTAATATCGCAGTAGTGGGATTTTAACTCTATCAACATAATTTTTAAACGAAAAACCGTATTCTCCTAAGTTGGTGGCTAAGAACACTAAAAAATTTTTATTAACATGAACAAAATTTAGTCGAGAAAAGTTGGAAAAATATTTTATAAAACTGAATTGGTTTGAAAATTTTTAAAACGATTTCACAGAAGCCAATGTCCATGAAGGGTTTTATGAGCTATTCAGATGCAAGACCAAAGACAAAATGAGCACATAAAGGGGAAGGGGTTATAATCGATTAGAATAAATATATATTAAAATGGGTTTTAGTGCTCTACCAATAGATTGCAAAAAGAGGTTAAAATAATCAACTTTTATCAGTTATAATTTGTTTGCGGAATAATAATCAATTAGGATCATCTTATGTATTTATAATGGATTTTCATTTGTTATGCAAAAGAGAGATTATAATTGATTTTTAATAGATTGTAATTGATATTTTTCTCAACTCATAATATAGGTGATTGAAAACACTTGAAACAGGATGCGAGGATAAACATACATAACTATATGCAAAATACAAACAATACAAAATTATATGCATACTAAAAACGACCAGGGTCGAAAAAAGTCGGCTGGGATCTAGTAGACTTGACCAGAATCGACCACAGATCTGCAAAATTGTTTACCAGCAGGCTTATACTGACGTTCAAAAGAGATACAAAATTTGATTTTTTTTCCGACCATTGAAAATGGGGAGGAACTTTATCTTCGGGTTGGTTTTAGTTATTTTGTAATTTTTCTTTTTTTCCTATTTTTTTTGTTTTCCACGCAAATTCAACCACAAAAAATCATCGGACTGAATTGAGCGATCTACCATATTCAAGCCTTTTGAGTAATAATTCGAACAACGATAAAAATTCCATGTCGAGAAAAGTTTGTTTGAAAGATTCGTTGTCGAAAAACTTAAATTTCTTGTCGAGAAAAACTTGTGTGAAATTTTTAATTTTTCGTTTTTTTTACTCTAATTTTGAGCGACTAACGCAATCGAGTAACGCTTAATACATGGAAATTTATTGCGTTTTCAAAAGTTCTAGGATAAAACACTTGATTAAGAGTAATGAACGTAGTGAAGACTCTTATATAGGTTTTGCTGATTTTTTCATTTGTTTTTTTAAGAAAATTATCTTAAAGTAAAAATGCAGTTTTTTAATGACTTTTTTCTCAGGTTTTTTATTGAATATCTTCATTATAAAATCTTTACCACAAGAAAAAATAGTTTTCCTGCATCAAATTTCTTGCATACTTAGATCAAGCATATTTTTCGACCTATTTTGAAAATTTGGCATTTTTGGCAAACTTTTCAATAGAAATGGTTGCGGTTAATTTTGTACGATCTTTTGAAACCTCTATAAAAACATTAACGATGCAAATAAATAGTCTATATGCTATGTACTAGTGTTACTTCAGGTTAACTCCAAGTATTAGTACTTATCCAGTTTCCAGTTTTTGAGTAAGATGAGAGGGCCTTGTACAAGAGACCGCATCTCTTGATTTTATGCTGAAAATAGTCAAAAAGTGACAGACCAAACATACCAAAAGGGGCCTTCGCAGCTGGGTACGTCTATTCACAGAGTAAGGGCAAACATCTTGCGTCATAACCATCATCATCAGCATTACACAAACACTTAAGATTGCATATTACCGACTATAGAATATGACAATAAGGCAAAAAAAAACAGCATAATCCTTGCAATATTGCAACTGTGCCAAATCGACAACCATACAGAGCCGTCTTCAGAAGAATTGAGGGAGTGATGAAGTGATGAAGAGAGGGAGAGAAAGAGAGAGACCCATTTTACCAATGATTCAGGTGGGGGGGGGGGGGGGGGGTGTTGTGTTCATTTTGAAGAGTGCTAATGCAGTTAGCCAGCTGGATGTCTCTTCCGCTTTCGCTAATTCACCACATCCTTTCATCATCATCGTCATCATCCGAGTTACTCAAGTCAGTTCAAGCAAGTTCTTTCCTTCATTATTCTCTCCCAAGCGCCAACGACCATTACACACAACTACTTTGTTGCTTTGGGAAGAGTCAAGATTCTACAGGATCTGACCATAATATAAGTTCGGCTATTACTTATTAGCTAAATCTCACTTTCACCTAATACAGTTTACATAAGTTAACAAGTAGTTTTGTGCTAGTTTACATGAACTAGAACCTCAACTAAGTAGAAAGAAAGGCTTCAAAATTGCCATTCACAAGTCAAAAGACAGAATAAAGCCTTCTATCATCACTATTTCCTCTCATGCTTAGCTTGGTTTGATTGTGATGACTATCGTTAGCAGTAATAGTATTAGTAATAACCACTATTTTCCCCCTAATAACCAGCAGCTGCAGTTGCATCACCAATCATCGCCATTGTCATCGAACTTCAGCACTTTGGAACAGGATCATCAGCATCCAATTCAGGGAGGGGGAGGGGGAGGAATTGAGAGGAATCAAGCACAGGCCAGTGGACAGAACACAACGAACCCCTCAAATCAGCAATTCAACAATTATTCTTATTCTTACAACCAAAAACGAGACCTGAGTGTTCTAAACAGTCCGCCTCACAACCTCATTCAATCTCGCCAGCCTCCTTGTTCATGTAGAGATTGCATGCAGATAACCCCCACCCCATCTAGACGAACTGCCGCAACAGCGGGATCCCCATTTTTCCCGGCCACAGGAGGTTCTGCGATGTCTGTAGCTCCTCGCTACCCCGCGTATCCTCCCCCTCTAACCCCTCTCTCCCTCTCCCAAGCAGCCCAGAGCAGGTCCATGCCCCCCTCTGCAGTCGGGGGTGGGGGTGGTGTCGGTGGCTGTAGTCCGATGCTACCCAGAAGACAGTCCCCTGGTGGGTACTCTCTTCAGGGGGGAAATGGGGCAGCTGTGGAGCCGTACAGTGTGTACAACTTCATAGGGGACTCCAGGGACTCTTTCAGTGGTGGGGGAGGAGGGGGTCATAGTATGACTAACAGCAACACTGGTGGCAGCAGCTACAGTCAGAGACCCTCATACGCCAGTGCGCAGTCAAACACACACTTTTTCACTGGTAAAAACTCACCTAGAATGTAATCTTTATTTTGAGAATTCTGACACAGAGTTTGTGTTTTCTGGGCTATCCATTTCCCCGTTTTAGAAGTTGCTGAGGCACGGGGGACGTAAAAAAAATAGGCTAATCAAAGCTGATTTTTTGAGTTTTCCCAAACAAGACCCTGTTTTAAAAATTCTTTTTGCGCCGTTTCTGCCCCACGGCAAAGTTTTGATTAAAGATATTTTTAATACTTTTAATCAAAAAATTTTTTGCACTCCCCCCTCATATTTTTTGCGCTCTCCCCTCAAATTTAATAAATATTGGCACCAAAGGTGCTTTCAGACAATTTTTATGGTTAGTCGACTAAACATGGATGTCGAAAATTGAAAAAAAGGTGAGCTTTGAGTAGTCATACGGTCGAATCCCTAAGTGTCCGCGCTCTGTCTCCCCTAGTGTTGGGGTACTTTTTAAAAAAGTTTGTCGCACTCGCAAGGCCAAAGATGAGCTAATAAATATATATTGACATACACTCATTTAAACCAAACAGTTGAACAATATTTAAAACGTCTTAAAAGGAAACAAAATTTTCGAGACAAAAAACCGTAAAAATCCAACTGGCTCTTTGTAGCCTGATTTTTGCCATAAGACCTCTTCGGAAATTGATTGAAAATTAACTTCTTAAAAAATCAACCAGAAAACAGTTGGGAGACCAGATCCTGTTTTGTTTACCTACGTGACACTAAAAAACGCAATTTCCAGAAACTTTGTTATGTTTAAATTCTCAGTTAGTTTCTTGTAACTTTTTTTGGTAACCTTACAAAATTAAACCTTGAAAGTAAAAAGTGTTCCAATAAAATTTAAATTATTGGTTTTTCATTCTCCGGAGTTCGAAGTAAAGGAGAATCTTGTTTGATGTTGATATGCTTTTTAAGCCTATAAATCAGTTTCGCTGGTCAAAAGAACAGTTTGTTTTTGCTTCATGGAACTGACTTGGAGAATTCAAAAGACTGACACAAAAATTGTGGGCTGATTATTGAGTTTTGACTAGCCATGAAAAAGTCCTGGACGTTTAATTTTCTGATAAAAAGATTAAATAATAAAACTTGTGCGATTTTTTTCATAAATTAAGTAGACTACCCGCATTTTGGTTCCATGGATAATAATCGATTATCATGGCTATTCATGATCTGACTCCATAAAATTCTATAATAATCGATTATAATGGACTACTAATCACTCATAAAACGAATAAACAGAGATCAATTTAATCCATTATAATAGATTATGAGTAAAAACATTCAAAAGTTGAATGTTGCAATTGCTAAATTATGTTTTACATTTGGCTACAGCGAAAAGTTGCATTGGTTTCTACTTTTTTGTTTTTGTTTCTCCCTCCCCCGTTAACACTTCACACTAACTCCCACTTTTCTTGCTTCGTTCAGTTACCACCTCCCAACCACTTGCCCTTACACTTACCGTAGAAGAAAAACGTGATCTTAATAAAAACTAATATGCACGAGCCCACCCAACTCCTCCCCCACACACACATTCACATCTCAGGTGTGTTTGGAGGGGTGGGGGTAGGGTAGGCGGAAATAGGCGGGTTAGGAGTTGGGGGTGAGGTTGGGGTGAGGTGAGATAAGAGTAAGTGTGCGTATCATCATTCTGGGGGGATGGGAGATGGGCGAGCTCAAATTTGGTGTTATTACTGAGAAGAACTGGGTTTTACGGGTAAGTTTATGGTTTGTCAGAATTTTACTTAAGGTGAACAGGTCTAAAAATTGAGTAGGCTGTGAGTAATGCAGAAAAAGCTGCAAAATTAGCGGAAATTTTGAAAGATATTTTTAAGGATTATAATTCATTATAATGGGTTTTAAATAGATTATAATGAATTTAATTCCTTATGGACTACTAATCGCTCATAAAACAAATAAACAGATATCAATTTAATCAATTATATTAGATTATGAGTGAAAACATTCAAAAGTTGAATGTTGAAATTGCTAAATTATGTTTTAAATTTGGCTACAGCGAAAAGTTGCATTGGTTTCTATTTTTTTTTGTTTTTGTTTCTCCCTCCCCCGTTAACACTTTACACTAACTCCCACTTTTTTGCTTCGTTCAATTACCACCTCCCAACCACTTGCCCTTACACTTACCGTAGAAGAAAAACGTGATTTTAATAAAAACTAATATGCACGAGCCCACCCAACTCCTCCCCCACACACACATTCATAGCTCATATGTGTTTGGAGGGGTGGGGTAGGGTAGGCGGAAATAGGCGGGGGTAGGTGGTGGGGGTGAGGTTGGGGGTGAGGTGAGATAAGAGTAATTGTGCGTATCATCATTGTGGGGGGATGGGAGATGGGCGAGTTCAAATTTGGTGTTAAAACTGAGAAGAACTGGGTTTTACCGGTAAATCATGGTTTGTCAGAAGTTTACTAAATGTGAACAGGTCTAGAAATTGAGTAGGCTGTGAGTAATGCAGGAAAAGCTGCAAAATTAGCGGAAAATTTGGAAGATATTTAAAAGGATTACAATTCATTATAATGGGTTTTAAATGGATTATAATCAAATTAATTCCTTATGGACTACTAATCGCTCATAAATCAAATAAACAGAGATCAATTTAATCCATTATAACTGATTATGAGTGAAAACATTCAAATGTTGAATGTTGCAATTGCTAAATTGTGTTTTACATTTGGCTACAGCGACAAGTTGCATTGGTTTCAACTTTTTTTTGTTTTTGTTTCTCCCTCCCCCGTTAACACTTCACACTAACTCCCTCTTTTCTTGCTTTGTTCAGTTACTACCTCCCTGCCACTTGCCCTTGCACTTACCGTAGAAGAAAAGCGTGACCTTAATAAAAACTAATATGCACGAGCCCACCCAACTCCTCCCCCACACACACATTCGTGGAGGGGTGGGGGTAGGGTAGAAGGAAATAGGCGGGGGTAGGTGGTGGGGCGAGGTTGGGGGTGAGGTGAGATAAGAGTAAGTGTGCGTATCATCATTGTGTGTGTATGGGGTGGGGGGATGGGAGATGGGCGAGTTCAACTTTGGTGTTAAAACTGAGAATAACTGGGCTTTACGTGTAAGTTTATGGTTTGCCAGAATTTTACTAAATGTGTACAGGTCTAGAAATTGAGTAGGCTATGAGTAATGCAGGAAAAGCTGCAAATTTAGCGGAAAATTTGGAAAATGTTTATCAGGACTATAACTCATTTCAATGGGTTTTAAATGGATTATAATCAATTTAATTCCTTTAAGAAATTAATTAAAAGGGATTATAGCCTCTTTTTGTGGTCTAAAAGTGTAATTATAATTGATTTTAACGTTGAACTGTTTGACCGTGAATATTTTGGTCCATAAAAGTTTACTGCCGGTGCGTCTCAAGATTTATGACCCAGGTAGTCGGTTTTTGATCGCACTGTTGGAGAACTTAATGAAATATATACAGAGTGTTTTCAAAACGTTTTTAAAAAAAAATCCGCCATTTATTTTACAATTTTTTTTTTGGTTTTCTGAAGTGATGCATTTTCTTTGGCAGGAAGTTTACTATAGTGCTGATTTAAAAGAACCGAATAAAACTATCTAAAGCAGAACTTTCAAATTCGGTTTTCCCAAGTTCAATTATTTCAAAAGATCCCAAGGCCAAAAAGATGAGAGCAAAAATATTTCAAAAATGTACCATTTTTTTGGTGCAATATTTTTGGGGGAATTTTTGAAGCAAAATTACAGCCTTCAAACGAGTCGTTCCTTTTGGCTCAAAGTTATTGAGGTGAAAAGGGTCACTTGATGTAAGAATAGCTACAATTGAACATATTTACCGCCTAATAAGTTGACCAAAAAACTACCCTTTTTAAGTGTGTAATTTAAGTCCAAAAATGTGCAAAAAAATTGTATCATAAAAAAGCTGGTGAAATTTTAAGCATTTTTGTAATCATTGTGTTAAAAATTTGTAAAATTACATATAACCAATTGAAAATTTTGCCAACGTTAGAAAAGTCGTTTGATCTTGTTCTTTTAAATCAGCACTAGAATGTCTTTTTTAGTTAAAACTTAAAAAAGTTAGGTGAAAACTCTCTACATCGCAAAAACATGCACAAAACAACAATACTATTGATTGAAATTTTTTTATCGAACTCGTGAAAAATTTTCTGCCTTCTGCAAAAAAATCACTTCAATAACCCAAATGTAGTAAGTTTAAAAAACAGCCTGTTTTTATGTGGTGGTTTTCCTTTCAGATCAGTTTCAGCTTTCAGCTATCGGAAAAGTAATTTTTATTAAAACACTTTTTATATCCCAATGCACTCCTTGAGATCAAATATGGAAACTTTTAACTTGGATGTATTATTGAAGTTATCGGGATTTAAAAAATGCATACTTGGCCATGTTTTGAATTAATTCATGTGCGCTTTTAGGAATTTGTTTTTGATTTTAGCTTACTGAAGTTATGCATTTTGATTTGATCTAAAATGATTTTTGCGTAGTAATTGGTCCAATAAGTCCCAATAAGAGTTAGTTTTAAGCTTTTGATGTTGTGTTACAGATGTTGGGAAAGATTCCGCCGCGCTAGCAATTGTAATTTTGAATTTTTTTACCATCACATCATTGAGTCATACCGTTTTATTGCAATTAATTGACAAAAAAATTCCACAAAAAACAGGGTCGAAATAGGGCCTTAAGAGTGTTCCCGGAATGTTCGAAAAATCAAATTTGTCGACCTATTAAAAAGTCGACATTTTCGAAAATCTTTTGATTACAGGAGAAAATTTTAGATCCGCCCCTGAGCTACCTTATGTGATAATTTTTTTTAGTAGAATTCTGTTTAAAACTCAATATATTTTGATCGAAACTCTTTAATGAATTTTAAAAATGCGTACCATTATAAAAAAAAGGAACAAAAATTGATTTTTTTTCTTTTCTTTTTCAATATCTACCCCAAACACGTTTCAAAGTTTCAAGTACATTTTGATGTTCATTTTAATAAGAATAATAGTTTGGCTCAATTT